TTGCCAAATTTTATCGAGATCGGTTCAGATTTGGATATAGTTCCCATATATATTTTTATCCGATTTCAAATTAATTTCGCACCAAATGGGCAATACAAGTCCGAATTTAGAAGATACAAATGCTTCGGCATATTTAGTCCTTTGAATTTTAAATTATAATTATAATCATAGCGTGTATGATTGAATTCTCCCATAAAAACTTTTAATTATTAAGTGGAGCTCAACTAAATTAGCAAAGTGGTGTAGGGTATCATAAAATCGGCCCCGCCCGTCTTTAGGACTTTCTTTACTGGTTTTCTTTATTTATCTTTATCAGGTGTTCTACCCAACCAATATTATTCCCAGAGCCGTATTTTTGTAACTCGTCTATTGTGTTGCAAAAAAAATCGTTTGAAAACTTGGCATCGCGCTTTCGGTGTATTAATTTCTCATAAATTTTCTTGGAAATATTATACCAGTTTTTGTCCATTATCAAAATTAGTCCTACAAATGAATCAAAGATGGTCGAAGACACGAGGTGTCGGTGTTTTATGGAAGCCACTAGGAATCGCCTACTCCTACAAGTTGGATGGAAAGTACAGTGTTTGCACTTTATTTGCGATCATGAAAGCGGCAAATTTGATTAGAACTGTGGAGAATGACTATAACTGAACCGGTGACTATTCATGTGGATAGTCAAGCGGCTCTTAAAGCTGTTGAATATTCTACAATAATTTCCAATTGGCAAATCTGTGATATTGAGGGAAATGTTAAAGCCGATGAATTGGCGAGGGCTTGCAGTCAAGAGACCATGAAGTCGCCGATATCTTAAAACGCATTCTTTGCCATTTCAAGAGAGCATTAGAACTACTCTTCAGGGAGAAACCCTAAACGTGCTGGTACAACGAACAACGTGCAAGGTGGTGAAACTAATTTGGCCAGACATCTCCTAGCGTAGAATTCAGTCTCTATAAAGCATGAATAAATCAACGTTTCGGATAACACTAGGGATACTAACAGGTCATTTCAACATCCGGCCAAAATGTCCAAATGGGATAAGTCTTACGTCGATGCATCACAATGGATCGGAAGGTCTGCGAGCGAGGTAGTTACAATCTCAATTGTAACTAAACATCCTCTAACCTTTCTAAACGCGTCTCATCGAAATAATTGTTTTAGTCCTTAGGACATTTGGAGTCGATCTATCGATGTTCGTTTCAGAAAATTTGGAGTCGATCTAACGATGTCCGTCCGTCCGTCTTTCTATCTGGATGGCTGATGCGCACGATTACTCTCGAAGCGAGTATCTGATTCGGTCCAAACTTGGGTACATCGCAATATTATTACCGAAATTAGATCGGGTTCCAAAATGGGCAATATCGGTCTACTCCTTCTGGTACAAATCCCACAAAAGGTCGAAATTTTAAAAAAATAGTTTTCTGCACAAAAAGAGAAAGGATAATCCGATTTTAGGTCAACTTTGCAAATCCTGATATTTTCATAAGATCTAGGTCAGGTGCGAAAAAGAGTCAAAATTTTGAAAAATTATAACTCCTGCTTCTCCCCCACAAAGGGTCAACATTTTGAATACTCATGAAGCTCATAAAACGCGAAATTAATATCCGATTCCATTTAGACTTGGCACATCTGAATATTTCTATCAACACGAGATCTGTTATAGAGATAGTAGAGATCGAACCATTCCTTCTGGTACCTCCCCCGCAAAGGGTCAAAGTTTTGAATAACCAAAACGATGTAAAATCCGAAATACGCGTCAGGTTCTCTTCATATTTCACACATTATTTCTACTAAAACAAGATCTTGGGTGAAGAGAGGATATATCGGCACACTCCTTCTGGTACCACCCTCACATAGGGTTCAAAATTTTGAGAATCAAACATTTCTGCTAACACAAGATCCGTAGTGAAGTTGATATATATCTGCGATCCCCTTTTATCTGCAGTAGATGAAGTATGAAAATGGAATACTTCGGCCGACTACTTTGGTACCTCACGCACATTTTTCTACAAATTTACACATATATCATATAAAGTGAAGGAAGTAACCAATATTGTCCGAATCTGGCACATCGCAATATTTATATCACATTTATTAAGGTCCGTTTTAGATTCCCTCAGAACCTAATCCATAGAGGCCAACAATTTGAGTAATCATAACCGAAGTCAAAATATATTTAAATAATCGAACATTGGCTGAGGGTATACATCTGTCGGCGAAACCGGCTGATACTTTATAACTTGTTTTATTAAATATAAGTACATTAATACCCTATATTTAAGAAGAGATATCTAGATAACTTCTAATTTAATAAAATATATTGTAAACTATTAATGTCAAAAACTACGTTTATTAAATAAGATCCGCAATACAAATATTTTTCTCATCACTTCTTTAAATCTGAATTCTTTGAGAAATACTCGTGATCGATGCCTCACGAACCTGAACCTTCCTTTCTTGCCGTTCTTTTACTTCATCCCAAAGCGAAATGCTAACTGACATTACTTACGGTGACCATCTTGAATTGAAGAAAGATGGCCACAGAATTCTAATGAATGGTGATAAATTTTCCACCAATCACGCATCCAAAAAGGTAGCGACGACACGAAAATATTTATCCAAAAGATACCTACCTAACCGAACATAAAGTACGTAGTCATGCCACAAACGATGAAAACAGACGACACAGTAACCACCAGAAGCTTCTTCAAGTCCCTCTGAAAAAAAAAAAAAAAAAAAAAAAAAAACGACACGAGGAAAATATTTATCACGAAAAGTCATCAAAGATCGATTGGCACTACCATTGAGCTGTGGTTGAGTTGAGCTGATGTTTCTTGCTCTGGCGTGTATGCGTATGAGTGTGTGAGACCAGTAGCTGTTGCAAGAAGTCTGCAGCCACAGTAAAGAGAAATGCTGCTGCATTGTCGCTGTTGTTGCTGCTTCTGTTGATGATGGTGCTGCACATGGAATAACAATTACGCTTAAACGGTCATAAAATTAAGCGAAGCCAACTAACGAGTGATGATTTTACATCCAGACTTGATTTAAAAAGGCAATCCAACCCAGCACTATTGCAGGTGATGGTAACGAAGATTCCCAGGGGTGAATCACACAACAAATCTAACAGAGTATACTATTCAACGCCTAAAAGTATGCAATCATGAAAAACCAAACATATTGTTTTATTTACCAAATCGTTGAAATTTACTTTTCAAATCAACGTAAATTTAATGTGCATGTTGCACCCTCTCAGGCAACAATAAACCGTTCGGTTGCCAATTTTCGACAAGGAGCGGTAAGTAAACTTCCGGTTCCGGCAGATTACGAAGTGTCCACACATTTGACAATATTCATTCAAGTTGCACAGGAGAGTGTTCGTGAGGATCCAGAAACATCAACCAGAAAACGTTCACCACAACTTGATCTCTCAAGAGGGTCGCTGCAGCGAATTTAGCATACCATAAGAATGTTTCCATACAAAATTCAACTTGACAGAGAATTGAAACCGACAGATTACCAACAACGACTTGACTAACAACGACCTATCAAGGTCGCAACGATCCAGGAAACGAAGCTGAGTACCACATGCAGGCTTCTAATTTGTGATCGACACAACGTATTGAGTAAGGATCGCACCAGATGTGGAGGATTAGCGTTCCTATTTCTTGATTCTATTATTTTTATTTGATTGTTATGAATTGAAAGTTTTATTTCGAATGAATATAAATTTTCATTACATTGACAATATTACAAAATAATTTACAACGCATGCTACTATTTAAAATTAAAATTTAATTGAGTGAAAAAACTTACAAAATCAAAGTGTTCAACACTATTGCACCACTCTGTCCAGTTCAGACCTATCTCGCCTAATCTTCACTCTAGTGACCCATACATGGAATGTATGTAGACAAATGTCATCCGTAACGCTAAGCCATCCAAAGCATTGGGCTCGGGCAAAATATTAATGGAAAATTTGAATCAGATACGTCTCCCTCTCTCTAGATCATGCAGGTACTTCTGACACGCCTCATGTAAATGGTGTATTGTAGTCATGACGCCCTCTGTTGCAGTTCGCAAGGCATTAAAGCACTAGTATTCTAGTTTTCGGTCTGTGATGGACCCACTAATTCTGCGACCACGTACCTATCTGTTTGCAGTCAAGTTACCGACGGATAACGGAGCTTTGTTTATAACTGGCCGCCTCAACAAATGTAAGTTTGAATTATCAAATCCGTACCATGGCACGGAGGCTAAGCCATGGTCGACATTAATTCCTATAGAAAACTATGACACATGGAAGATAAACTATAAACCACCAAACGAAATGGTGGACCCGCTAAGAATTAAGCAGTTGCAGCATGTCACAATGTTGATATCTTCTCTAATATGCTTTTAACTCCAAGTTGGGTCCATAGCGATACGGGAGATATATGAATAGATTTGGCTGGACAGTTAAAGAGGCTCAGCGTGTCATGTGCCTCACGCTGAACAGGTGTTCTGCACACTACTGTCAATTCGAGCACCATACGAATAGAGGCAGCTGCTCTTTTAAGATCTCAGTTATGCCAAAACTACTCTGGTTTGTAGCGGCAGCTCTCGTTCTTCAGCTGCAATGGGGGTGCAGAGGATCGCCAGTAGATCACGAGCAGACTTTCCTGGTTATTTTTCTTTTAAAGCAGAAACATAAACATGGACATGCTGGGCTGGTCGGACCTGTGATGCCTCTACATTCACTCCTTCAAAAGCAATGACGGACAGATCTAGTCGCAAACGGGTATTTGCAAGTGGGATTAGTTGACTTTGGGACAATACGAGTGTTTTACACAACCAGTCGAACACAAAGCTAATAAAAGAGGAATGGCACTCGGTCGGAACTGATATCTTTAGTCCCCAAATGCGGAGAAATTTAATGTTATTTTTTTACTTGACGCAAAATGACTGAAAAGTACACAGTTCTTCTAAATTATTTCAGATTTTAATATAAAATATACAGTCCCATCTATAGGTAATATAATATTTATTTACAAAAGTACATAAAACTAACAAAATAACAAAAAATAAAAAAGATTAATTCAAAAAATATTAATACGAACTACAGCTAAATAAATATAATACAGAGACCCCAACGACAAATCGATACTTGGTATCATTATTTCGCCTTGGTCTTCGTTTTTGGAATATATTTTGTTAAAATTGTTTTCAATTTCGCACAGGTTTCGTCCGTTGCCGTCGGCGAAAGGTTTCCAAAAGCATAAATCCAATTTTTGACAACTAAATCACTATCACAACTTGACATATTAATATCACTTATATAACGTTCGGGAAAAACGAAATCGGATGAGTTGTTTGTCTTCTCATCGTCCAAACTTTGATTCAATTCTGAGGGTGTTTTGATGTTGATTTTACGACGATTCGGTATTTTAACATTGCGAAAGATGTTATCGAACCGTTTGTAGTATTTCATGTTCAATGGACAACGATTTAATGTGTCCTGTTTTTTGTAGATGCAATACTTTTGTGCGGCACGTCTGAAGGACAGCAGGCAGTCGGAAACTGTAAAAATGAATCAATGAAATGGAGCATTATTAATGTTTATTTAAGTTTTTAGGCTTTCCAATTATGGCCCTGTTCCAGGACCTGCAAGAATCTATTACTTCAGCAAGATTGTTCGATATCATAAAATGAAAATCGGTTATCGTAGTAAGAACTTTTACATTCTTGCAGGTCTGAAACAGATCATGTGTATACCCGTACTTACCATCCATTTGCAAATCCTTGGCCACACTTTCCCAAGCCTCTAACTTCTGCAAACAATCACCCTTTCCATAAATTATGGGAAATTTCTCTATGGCAGTCAACAGGGTCACCATTTCCACATCCTTTTTCGGAATATCGTTTATTTGTAAAGTTCCCAATACAGCTTTGGAAGTTGAGGGCTTCTCTTCAGTTTTTATAGCATCTAAAAAAACAAATCAAAATTTCTTTATATCCTTTTAGACATTATTATTTCACCTCACTTACCCTTTTTCCCGTAACGTGCTTTCATTTCAATCATGGCACAACGATCGATTTCCTCCAACATTTTATTGCTAACAATATAATAGAATGGTTCATTGGTCGAATAACGAGCCTCAACGAAAAATTTCATTCGGGCCAAAACACGCCACCAGTTGATGTGCCATTTACTGACAACGCCAAACTCAATATCGGTCATATACTTGCAAAACACATTCTTTAGTTCAGTCCATATACCGCTGATATTAGCTATGAGGGGTTACAAAATAAAGGCATTTAAAAATGCATCAAATTTTGGTAGTTGTAGGTGGTACTTACATATTTTCGGAAATCTTAAACTTAGTGTACGAAAAACGCACAAAGCTTCCATATCAGTAGCTGATGTTGATACCGTATTACTGGCATTTTTGGAAACATCCTTATAGAGAACGGGATAGGTGCCAATACATTCCACAACTTCCGGAAGTTGTGAACTGTATTCTAACCAACCACTGGCAGCTAAAATAAAAATTGAGAAACATTACATACGGTTCAAGTCGAGTTTTTATGCCCTACACCACATAATGGTAAGGGTATTATGTCTTTTTGCATTTTTTTGAATCGAGATAGACCCATAGTTACTTTCTGAGGATCTTCATAGAATCACCTTCTGAGTCGATTTATGCATGTCAGTCCATAATTTGGCCCTCAAAGAAATACCAAAACTTACCAGCTTGTTTAGCAAAACGATCGAAAAGTTTGGTTGATTCTGTCCAAACTGGTAGCGTTGTTGTAAAGGGCTTCATTAATTCCTTTAACGGTGCAATTTGTGGGAAGTGATTGAAATTTTCCAACAAGAAGTTCCAACAGGCTTTGCAAATGTGGGCTAAAAAGGAGATTTTTTTTATTTTATCAAAAACCATTATTTGTCACAACATTTTAACCTACTTGGCAACATAAATTGTTTGGCAATATATTCCCAATAAGTATTAAGGAGATTCGCTTGATTGAGAGCTTTTGTGTTATGCAATTGTGGTATGGCGAGAACTTCACGTATAAATTTGGCCACAGTCGGCATTGTCAAATGATATTTTTCACTTAGTGGAGGTCCATGGACCACCAAGAGATTACCAGTCGGTGAGGCGATTAATTCAATTAAAATTTCATTTGGATTTAATAATGAAACGGCATTGCTAATTTTTGGTAATTCTCCCGTTGCTGAGGCTGCTGTGGGAATGGATGAAGATGTGTTGGCAGCTGGAACAGTAGATGAAGCAATGGGTTTAGGATTTGCGTTGGTGATGTTTGTGCCGCTAGGAATTGTTGCACTTTTATAATTATTGACTGCCCCAACATTGGTGGATTTAATTGTAGTATTTATGCAGACCATGGGAGCCATATTAACTTGCCCACCCGAACTCGACATTTGTTTTGGACCATTGGCCGCTGCCACAGCTTGCATTGCTGTTCTTATACTCGGCTTGCCGTTCTGTCCTGTATTGGAAGTGGTTGTAACCACCGAGGCCTTATTTATAGCTGAGACTTGGGTATTTTCTGGCAGTGTATAAGAAAACTGTATGCTATGCCCAGGTATCAAAGATCCATTTAATACAGTGGCGGGTTTTGGCGGTAGAATTGTTGACATGGCATTTGAAGTGATGGGGGTGCCAATTGGCCGGATTTGCAATGAAGAACTAACACCGTTTGTCGTAAGAATCTGTGGTGCTAAACTTATGGCCGATGTAATCTTTGGCAATGGTGCGGGCTCGTTTTGTGCTGGCTGTGGTGCTGGAATCGATATGGCATGTGCATTTGCAGTGCCTGTTTTTTGAGTATTTTTTTGCTTTTGTGAACCTTGTTTTTGCAGTTCCTGGCGTTTATTTTGAATTGTCTGCTTGGCCAATGGCGACTCTTTGGCCATGTCATAGAGTTCAGTGATGATAACTTCAAAATACCATTTATCGGTTAATTGATAGCTGTGTTGGCGCATATTCATCAATTCCCAATAGAATAAACGCATTATAAGCCAGGTTGTTTCACATTCTCCCGGAGAGTTACCTGTAAATAAATTCAATTGGTTAGATATACTTGAATTTTATTGGGAGTGGGGGCTGATAATTATCAATCAGAGAGACAGTTTACAGACAGAACACAGATTTGAAAGGAATCCTTAAATCATTTACACTGACACACATAAATACAAGCCATTAATTCATCATCCTAAAAATAATACTTGTCAATTTAAATCGGCATTAAACGTTTGACGTAGAATATATGGAGTTTCCTTCACCGAATTTTTCCATTAAGGCCATGCGAGGGACTTAAAACCCCATATCGAATGAAACATATATATATAGGGGCTATGGCTTTATCTGAAACGATTTTCAAATATGATGTAATTGCTTCTAGACTGAATTCGATTAGATGTGCCAAAAATTCAGGTCATTTAGACTGATATTCGTCGTTTGGTGCACAAATAACCCGAAATTGGTTAAAGATATATATGGGAGCTATATCTAAATTTGAACCGATTCGCACCAATTTCAATGGGGTTCGTCTTTGGACGAAACAAATATTGTTTGGAAAATTTCATCTCAATCAGATAATAAATGCGACCTGCATTTTTTTCACAAAAATGCATGGGCAGATTGAGGGACGGACGGACATGTATAAATCGACTCAGAATGTGATTTTTTTGCAGATCATCAAAAGGAACTATTGGTCTAACTCGCTTCTTTCGCTACGTTACAAACAAATTCACAAAGACATAATACCCAGACAACAGCGTGGTGTAGTTATACCCTACACCTACACAATTGGTGAAAGTTAATGGCCAAGTCGAAAGCTAGTCATTTCAGATAGAAGTTTCGACTATTGGAAAAATAGAAAATTCTAAATTCAAATAATAGAAATTCCATATTCTCACAATATCGGAGAATGAAACATGAACTTGAAGAGTCAATTCATATTAATTTAGAATTCAGGAACGAGAATATTTGCCCGGCATGTCATGAAAGATAGTATAGAAACAATTCAATCGAATCAAAATCCAAGGCACTTAGGCCAGTGTTATTGATGTGAAGGACGACATTCCATCGAGATATAAGCCGAAGTCAACGTACTTCGATAAGATCTCACCTGACTAAGCCTCTGGGACATGAAATCTTCAAATTGATCTGTTAATGGTCATATATTTTGTCCTCTAGATCTTCCAACCATCAATACAGGAACTTATGCCGATTATGTCCGAATATCGAAATTACAGAATTGTCTTTGTCCAATTCCGAAATGCTAAGAGAACTTTGTTATAGCAGAAAAGGCCATGTGACTAAATAAGTCGATAGTGAGGGGACCCTCAAAGGCATCAAGAAAAGTACCATCATAGAGGAACAAGGTCCCTTCTATTACTTAATAAGTCTGATCTTATTGACTGGCCAATGTAATGTCACATATCTGACCTTTAGATGGAACAACGTATGTTCCGATTATGTGAGGACGAAGAAGAGGTAGAGACAATTGAACATCCACTATGCAGATGCCCCAAGCAGTCAAGCAAAAGACAAAGGCTGTTCTGTAGGGGAGAGATTAAAACTCTAACGTTCTTCTCAGACGTAGATCATACAAAGGGTTTCAAAAAGCATATCATGGCTAGGCAAGCCTTCGTATAACTAGTTATCTCTATCTCTTCTTTCTTTCGTACCATAACTCTTCTTTCTTTCCAATTTATATATTTCCTAAAATAACTAATTCTTCTTAGGATGAACACAATGGACCAGTGGTTCCGAGGGAAGCAGCTGTAGACTTTAGTGTAGCTGCGCATAGAAAACTTGCTTAATATGAATTCGGACATAGATCAACTCTACCCGGTCTTCACTTCGGCCAAAACTTGATTGCTGCCAACGGAAACGTTGAACACTAATATACAGTATTCAGATATTTCACCCCTTTAATAGAATTGAAGCAAACGCTTTTTCATGTCCTTCGATGGTCCACAACTGTTTGTATAAATTGCATTGGTGTTGACATTATCCGCAATTTGTAGTCACATTTCCAACAATCCCAATATATAATTACATCGGTTTTCACTTCTCCCAAAACTGAATTTCTTCCCAATACGTACCCTTCATTTTAGCCACATCGCCCCACAGTGTGAAAAATTGTTTTGTCTTTTCAGGATCCTTTAGCTGAGTATCGGTTATATAGACAACATCGGGCATTTTCTTTAAACGCAATATAAAGTTGTAGATGTCTTTGAAGTAATCCATGGGCTCACACCAGCATTTTTTCAAATAATACGAATGTTTATAAACAGTTTCGGGACTGGTAAAAAATACAAAGCAAAATAACATTAATTACAATTTAATTTTAAATTAACAATAACAATAACTCTGTTCCACAACTAGCAAGGATCTACTAGTTTTGCAATTTTTTTCGATATCATTAATCGGTTATCATAGTAAAAACTGTTACATTCTTGTTGTTCTGGAACAGACCTAATACTAGAACCAAAATTCTACATACTTTGTTAAAATATAAGGTTCAAAGAACTCCATTTCCTTTTGCAGTTGTGTTTGACATTTGGCCACATCAGTACCCTGTGGGGTCTTTGATATTTCCCATTCGTAACGGGTCATCATTAAAATCCAACATTTCATTAATTTGGTGGCTAAAATTAGACAAAGTGGAAACTTAATCACTGTTGCAAAAACAATAATTGTAATCTTACCTTTATCTCCAACTTGTACAGCTATGGAATTCCACAGTAAACTCTTACGCGAATAATCATTGTAATCATAACGTGTCGTATCATAAAGTTCTGGATATTTTTTAATCTCAGCAATAAGTTTGCGCATTTCTTCGGTGACCTTAAACGACTTTTCTGTCTGCTTCGCATCATCATCCTCGTCAATGACTATCAGTTCCACAGGTTGTTCAATCAAAATTAGGTCATCATCAATCTTGTGTTGTTGTATTTCTGGTTTCCGAACAGGTTCCGGAATATCATATGGTATATCACAATATTTACGATTTTCAATGAAACGAAACAGATATATCAAATCGGAATCGAATTCCATGGTGGGACGTGTACCGGACGACTTTTTGACACCATTGATAAAGTATTTGCGCAAACGTCGAACGTAACTTTGATAATTGTAACGCAGTTCAATCCAGGTTGTTTTACACGTATCAACTGTAATGAGGAATGTGGGATGTTGTTCAATGACAATTTTACGTGATTCGAAGATTTGAATCCAATTACTTACCATCACTTTTTAGCTTCTTGGCAATTTCTTGCCAAACTATGTCCTTTTTAGCCACGTTTGAGAATAGTTTGTGTTTGTTGTCATACAGTATCCGATGTTTTCGCACTTGTCGTATTAACCGCTTCTCAAATGTTTGGGCAGCTTTTTCTTTGTCGCCACTTTTTGAAGAGGAAGCGGCAGCGGCAGCTGGCATTATTTCATCTTCATCATCTAAAACAATGCAATCCATCTAAAAGCAACGAAAACAAAACAAATAAAATAAGTTATTACTGAATCTTCCAAACGAAATGAAGTAGGTTGATAAAATTTTACTCAAATGTATACTATGTCTGCAGGACTTTTGGTATTGAAAATGGGCCATTTACCTCCCTATTTTCAGTATTTTGGTGATTTAAGCGTACTTAAGGGATATTGATTTTTTTAACGACATTATTCACCGGAATTGTTTCAAATTTGGTATTAGAAGTTCGTAATGGATACTATAGCCTATGAAAGAAAATTATTTGTGCAGGTCCACGTTTTGGTATAGCCCCATATAATAGTACCTCCCTATATCGATTATATAATACTCTGTGTTATATATATTCAAGTATTCCAAGAAGTGAAATCAAACAAAAACCAGTGAGCTCTATGTGGTATACGGTACCAAATATCATTATTGTAGAGTGTATATTAGTTGATTCTAGATTTAAAACGGTGGGATGTACCGAAATTCAGGTCATTTGGACTGTCCATTTGGTGCACAATTAATCTGAAATCGGCGGAAGATATATATGGGAGCTATATTTAAATTTGAACGGATTCATAATAAAAGCGACTCGGGCTGGGTCGACTTTATGATACCCTACACCGCTTTGCTAATTCAGTAGAGCTCCACATAACAATTAAAAGTTTTTATGGGAGAATTCAATCATACACCCTGTGATTATAATTATAATTAAAAATTCAAAGGACTAAATATGCCGAAGCATCTGCATCTTTTAAATTCGGACTTGTATTGCCCATTTGGTGCACAATTTATTTAAAATCAGATAAAGATATATATGGGAGCTACATCCAAATCTGAACCGATCTCGATAAAATTTAGCAAAGGTATTTATGAGCTGCATTTGATATATTTCCCTAAATATTTTTGTTACAGAGTGCATATTACGGAGGACAAAAATAACAAATCGGATGAACAATATATATGGGAGCTATAGCTATATCTGAGCCGATCTTCACCAAATTTGGCATACTAGCTTCTAGACTCAATTCTGTCGTATTCCATCCCATTCCATTTTCCAATTCCAATTCCATTTGGGCAAATATTAGACGTTTCACAATAAAAGGTAAATCGGTCGAAGTTATATATGGGAGCTATATCCAAATCTGAACCGATCTCGATAACATTTAGCAAAGGTATTTATGAGCTGCATTTGATATATTTCCCCAAATATTGTTGTTACAGAGTGCATATTACGGCTGCGGAGGACAAAAATAACAAATCGGATGAACAGTATATATGGGAGCTATAGCTATATCTGAACCGATTTCGATCAAATTTGGCATACTTATTTTCAGGCCTAATTTGTTGGTTGTATGTACAAAATTCCATACTATTCGGGCTGGTATTACACGTTTGGTGCACAATAAAAAGCAAATCGGACGAAAACATATATGGAAGCTATATCTAAATTTTTACCGATTGTCTCCAATTTCAATAGGATTCGTCCTTGGGCCAAACAAACGTTTTTTGGAAAATTTCATCTAAATCGGATAATAAATGCGACCTGCATTTTGTTCACAAGAATACGTGGACAGTTGGACGGGCGGACTGACATGCATAAATCAACTCAGAAAGTGATTCTATGGAGATCCTCAAAAGTAACTATGGGTCTATCTCGCTTCCTTCTCCATGTTACAAACAAAGGCACAAATACATAATATCCTTACCACTACGTGGTGTAGGGTATAAAAATCGTTTATCGTAGTAAAACATTTTACATACTTGCAGGTATGGAACAGAGCAACTGCAGTTTTGTCACCCCCCGGGTGACTGCAACATCAACAATTGTTTGTACTACAGACGCACAAACACAAAAATTAACAAAAAATCGATTTATTTATACACTCGATTTCACTAAAAGAGTGAACTTACTCATCTTGAGTAATCTTCATGTAAAACTCGTAATCTTCGAGCACTTCCACACGAAAGTGTTTTTCACTCTCGAGTAAAATCGAGCATATCTGCCACTGTAGCGAATATGAATTGTTGTTGAACGACGTGTGTGATCGTCTTTGCTGGCATAATGTTGTCATTATTTATATGGTACTTGAATGCTTAAAGAATCACACATGGTTAATATTAATTTTTTCGATGTCATTGAGGGAAAATCGGTTATTTTAGTAAAAGTTTTATATTCCTGTAGTTCTGAAACAGACCAATAGAGTCTCTAACTAATTTTTGCATTGAGAAAAATAGTTAGTTTTTATATAACTACGACTAAAATGTGTACAGTATTAACATCGGCGTTCAACTACAATAATTCATGAAGTATATTTTCATTCGTTAAATTACAAAAATATCGGAACAATTATTTTGATTCGCACTGCATGCAACGCAAACGAAAAGTTGGCATCACTATGTTATTAATGTTACCAATCAAACAACATTTTGATTTGGCAATGTCAAACACGAAGAATAACACACACAGACGGAGAGAGAAAAATGAGAACATTTGCTGTTACTTGGCAACAAGTTGCCAGCCATTGATGGCTACTTAACATTTGACAACTGTCGGCACACTCAACCGCACACACATGTTCAAAACATCTCTTTTCTGTTAGTCCATTCTCCTTTACAGTAGCATGGCTTTGTGTTGTTTATGAAAATGTGCGCTCTCCAAGAAATTTGAAAAACAACCACCAATTGACGCTAGGAGCTAATGCCCGTTATGTCTGTCGGTATGATAGCATTCGAATTTGATCTGATGGAAGGCAAGGAAAACCAAAGCCGGTAAACACATTGTTGATGTATGGTAATTGTTTGAGACTGAAGCAGTTCTAAAGAAGTCATGTAGGCACATATGCATGATATCAAACGATAACCAGAAAATAGTTCAATTATGGGTCTAATTTAAACATAGCTTCAATTACGGAACATCGGGTTAAAGAAAAACACAAATCACAAATAAATATAAACAATTGCTGGGTTCCAGAACTGCAAGATTTATAACTTTTTTTGCCTTTATGATATCGAAAAAAAAATCGAAACTAGTAGATACACAATAATTTATTCTTTTTATACCCTCAACCATATAGCTAGAGAGAGTATATCTCATTTGATACGGCAAAACGTGCCTCATCGAAAAAACGATTGCATACCAAAATTTTCTAAAAATGATCACATATTTCATATAAAGTGAAGGAATTAGTCGATGTAGTACAAACCTGGCACGTCGGTATATTTGTATAATATTAATTTAGGTCCGATACGACAATATCGACCCATTCCTTCGAAACCTACTCCATATATATATAAATAATCGAACATTGTCTGAGGGCATAAATCTGTCGGCATATCATTTTTGATATGTAAAATTCAATAGAAAAGCTATTCGGAATAGAATTTAAATAAATGACTCCCCTTATTAAGGGTATAATTTCTTTGAAGTATTACAGTGTCATACCAAGATGAGTACAGCGAGACTCATAGGGTACAAGAATACAGGTAGACGCATCAAGAAGGTATACAAGAATACAGGTAGACGAACATTGACATTTTTATTAAAAATTTTCAAATTCAAAATTAGTTCGACAGTTCATTGTCCCATGATACAATAAAACGTATGGTAGAGCTACCAGCTGATTACAATTTTTTCCGACTTCTGCCAATTTTGTGTATGTATTTATTGTTTTGAAAAACAAAAACCAATCATTTTCAAAATCAATAATTGAAAAAAAAAAACGTACGTTACAGGGCGAACAATAAAGTTAATAAGATTGATCAATGTAGATCTTTTATTTGAAAGAAAATCCAGGCATTTGATTCATTTCGAGACTTTTAAACAATATTCAAAATATAAAACAATATTAAATTAATTAGAGCCACCTGTTGCATCTACTTTTGAATAATTCTGACAGAAAGCGGCACAGCCTCAGGGTGTATTTCTGTACTACAAAGCTGTTCTACCCCCTTATTGTACCATGCCAGCAACTGTAGAACAAAGCTGTTCTACCCCCTTATTGTACCATGCCAGCAACTGTGTCGATGCGACTACCCGTTTCTTCTACCATGATTGTAACACTTTCTAAGGTTAACCTTTAGACCATATATAAAACACCAATCGTTAAAATGGCCAAGATCTTCTTGCATAAATGATATATTAGAAAAGGGCTGTGTTTCAGAAAAATTTTCAAATCATCCGTATAGAGTAACAATTCTGAACAGAAATATCATTTTTACACAGAATAAAAAATAATGATCTCAAAACAATACCCTGTGCGACACCCGAGATCTGAATATAAAGAAATGATGCATACTTTTCAATACGGACTCTATTGTCAAGGTAAGAACACCAAGGAATGAAAAATGTATGCCCATGGAAAATAGTTTTACTAATAACAACTTGTCGGGTAAAGCTTTAGAAAAGTCTGTGTAAATGACATTATTGACTTGTTTTAGCGAAAATCATGCTGTTGAGGAATAGTAAGCGACTTATTTGGAAAACAAAAATTATGTTATTTTATATAGCTCATAGATTTTCGAAATGATAGTGAATTTGGAAATTGACCTATAATTGGAAACATCATTGCGGCAACCTGATTTATTATCGTATGCTCTGTTTGTACAGATTAGCTACAATGCTTTTCAACGTGTTTGGTTTTGTTTCGTTTGCTGCTGTGGTTGTAAAAATGTAAATGCTCGCATTCGAACGAATTTTGCTCCAACTCTAATACCAGGAAAGCATGCTCGCTAGAGTTTACTCGTTTTGTTTTTTCTACTCTACCACTCGACTTCGAGCCAGTTTCAATCTTTAATCACATTCGGGTGGGTTTTTCGGATGTCTGGCATATACACAAATATGAGATTGAGACCTTTTTAAATCGAGTTAAATTTGACAAAGTAAAATACAGATGGAGTGGTCCGATTTTGCCTATTTTCGCAATTAAAATAACACTGGTAAAAATAATAGGATTTTCAAAAGTTGAAAAAAATTAAAGATCCCGTCATGTTCTATGAGATAAATTAATTTCTATGAAAATATTGATCTTTTGTAGGGGGAGGTACCAGAACTCGATCTAAGTTTGATAATAATCGGATACTCCATTGGACATTCTTAGATTCGAAAGTTACCATATTGTTACAAAATGTATAATATTTTCTTTCTTTTCCCGTACTATTTAGATGCGTTTGTTCTCCTAAAGCTTTCCCAAAGGTTTTCTCTTTTAGAAACAGCGCGATCTTTTAACAACAAAGGGTCGCATTTATTAATTTAAGGAACAATATTCCATCCTAAGATTGAAAAAAAAAAAAACATATTTAATACACAAACCATAAAAGTGGCAACCCTCGTTAATCGCTTTTCAAAGACAAAAACCCTGTTTCACTTCATTCTACAAAAATGAAACAACAATTTTAAGCAGACTATCTCACACCCTTATTTCATTACTGTCTCTGAAGTGTCTCTTTTTTCACTCTCTCTCTCCCTCTATCTTGCTCAATTCTGTATATGCCAAGGCATAACAGTAGATGCTGTTATTTTTTCGTTTATCTTTTGTGCTTCATTTTCGCCAGCAGACCAACAAACAAATCATAAAAATATGCAAAGAAACTTAATGCCCAACAACTTACATTTGGAGATATGTTTATTTCCTTTTGTTTGGCGAGATTTGCAATATTCTTAATGGTTTAATATTTATTTCACTATTCACCGAGTCTGTGTAGTATTTTCAGTATTTGTTATTGTTGCTCACACGTAAATAAAACACCCGAGCAGACCACAACCGTATGTTATTAACACGACCACACGACGCAACTAACTGATAGAGAGTAAATGACTGAGCAGCCGAACAAGAGACTGTTGCTGGCAAGGGGACAGAAACTTAACAGAGTTAGGCATATTTGTCCTATATGGCAATGCTGTCAAATGTTTCAGCATCATCTTGAATCGTTGCCTATTTCTATAGAGAACTCAAACACTCACACGCACATACAGAAGAAGAACAACAACAGGCAGAGAGATATGAAAGAGACATAATAATCGCGAGCAGCTCATATGAGTTGGTGAGAGTTAAATTTGTATCCGTTCGTTTACATTGGATTCAGTGAAAACTAGACCAAGATATTTGTTGAGAGTTGCCACTATTTTTTTTTCGAAAATATTATTGTTTGTGGTACAGTTGTGCTAAAACACGTGAACAAAATGCATAGGGTTGCCATCGTATGAAAAATTAATATTATGTAATTAATGTAATGTTGTAATAATTTATATTTTTTTTTTTCTAGAAAAATCATGACACCATAGAAGAATGTAGTTGCAGTTGGGAAACCTGTGATGGCAACCCTCTTAATATATGTGAGCAATTAAACTGCTATCAGACGATAAGGGTTTACATATGTGCTGTCACTTTTATTATCCATGTGTATTTCCGTATATATTGTATCAACATTGCTATTTTACATATGACTCATAATTCTTACTATCATGTGTGTGCAACTTCTACATATGGAAAGTTTGACACTACATATGTAAAACATCGTCTGATAACAGCTTTACAGATGTGATTCTGGGAGAAATTCGTTCAATGGAGTTATTCAGTGAAAGGAACCATTGGGTGAATTTTTAAGAGGTTAAAAACTTTTTCCAAAAAAAAAACATAACAGTAAGAAAAATGCAAGAAATCTTTGTTTGAAATTTTATTACGGTCCATATAGTTTAAAGTTTGGAAATTATTTTGTGCATATGTTGATCGCGACTGCGCCTCAAGTGATCCATCCGCTTAGTCCAATTTTGACATACTTTTTCCAACATTTCAGCTTTAAGATAACCCCACAAAAAATAATCTAAAGGCGTCAGATCACACGATCTAGGCGACCCGGTCCCGAACGTAGAACAAAATGTTCATCGAATTCGCCTAGCAATAAGTCCATTGTCAGGAGCACTGTGTAGCATCGTCTTGTTGAAACCTTATGTCATGAAATTCAAGCCCTTGCTTTTTGGGCCAAAAAAATTGATTTAATCTCACGGTAGTGCTCTCCTTTCGCAGTTACGTTACGATTCGGAGTATCTTTGAAGAAATATGGTCCAGTGATGCCTCACGCCCATAATCCGTGCCAAACTGTGTCTGTTTCTATATATATTGGTAACTTTGGCAATGTTTCTGGCTCCGAAATTGGCAATTCCGAGCCATAGAGCCAAAACTGAAGTTCGTCGTCCGCCTGCCATTAACTTTCTTAACAGAGCACGCAGTTTAATAAGAAAATTCATTGATTTGCAAGCTTTATTTGTTAGTAAAACAATTCACGGTAAAATTATAGACTAAACTGAATACGTTTGACAGTGAAACAAAACACGAAACATGTGTAAGCTGTTTAAACCAGTGTTGCAAAACTTTTAATACTCTCCACATTGGGTAAACCAAACATTTTTATATAAAATTATCTGAATTCCAACGTGTTCCACTTTAAACTGCAAATACCAGTAAGACCGTTTGGATAAGGCTGTAAAACTTTTCAAAAACCCATAAGTTGAGTGAGGCCGTTATATGGGGGCCATACCAAAACGAGAATCTCTAAAGACAATTTTATACTTCAAGGATTGCCATCTACAAAATCTTCCAAATTTACCAAAGGATTTTCAAAATACCGAATACTTGTAGGTTTCGCAACATGTGAGCTATAGGAAAACGTGGACGTAAATATTCAATGTTCTGCCACCGGGGCTAGAACCCATTACAAACTGCAAATACCAATTTCTGCACAAATCCGTGTGGTAAAAATCACCAAAACGCCATATATCGGGAGGTACTGTTATATGGGGGCTATACCTAAACGTGGACCTATATATATTATGTTCCGCCGCCGGAGCTAGAACCGATTACGAACTACAATTTCCAATTTTTAGACAAATTCTTGAAAAAATGTGGCAAAAATCATTAAAATATCGGGAGGTACCGTTATATGGGGCTACATCAAAACGTGGACCGATATATCTTATTTTTAATACCTACATACATACATACTAGACACAATACAAAATTTTCCGCCAAATTTTGAAGCCCACGTCAAATAATGTGGCTGTATCGTGATTTCTACAGTCAGGCGGACATCGGTGGACCGACTTAGAATTTTATGCTGGTCATGAATATATGAATATATATACTTTATATATATACTTTAGGGATGCTACAAACGGAATGACAAAGTTTCAAGGTGTAGGGTATAAAAATACGAAGTTCGTGACTTTTCAAACTTCCCTCGTAGTTATATGATATTCAATTCTGCATTCGGACGGAATAGATGAAGAATGTCAAAGCCGCGCTCGAATTCTATCGCCGTTTCAGCCAATTTACATACTAATACTAATAGAACATTGTATCTCTCTTGATATTTTTCTATTCTTCTTCTATTTTCATTCTCCTCCAACCCACCCCCTTTTTTTAAGAGTGAGTGAAATCGAATGGTATGAATATTCAATTACAATTAACATTAGTCAATAGTATATAAATATATTAATGTAACGTAAAAATTGCCTAAACATATGTACCTTCTTTTTCCGCTTACAATATATTTTTACTTTAACAAACAGGAGAAATGCTGGGAAACGAATGAACGACACGAATACACACCGCACTCTGAGAAAAAAACTACATCGATAATGTCCATAGCAACATAAAGGCTGTATACAAAATTTGCAACTGGCAACGCCGTTCGCCAATAATCAACATGTATGGAATTATTAAACCGCCTTGTGGTATGCAACATTTTTGGAAGCATAAATTGGTTTGAGAAATTATTTAACACCTCATGCATTGCAATGCCAGCGTAAAGTAAGAAAATAGAAATAATCGATCACCAATCGATTACGATCAACGTCGATGATATTAAGCAGTATTGACGTCATTTGCAGGCAGATGGAAAGCGAAGTGGGGAAAATGACTTAAAAGAGATCTCTTTTTTTATATTTCAGGATTTGTTTAGAATGTTACGCATATAAATATCTCATGCAGATTGGTTTTAACTTTATTATATTTAGAATTTAAACTGTTTCCATACTTATACATTTTTATACCCTCCACCATACATGATATGGAGGATATGTTAAGTTCGTCATTCCGTTTGTAACTCATCGAAATAATAATTTTAGACCCAACAAAGTATATATATTCTTGGTCAGCGTAAAATTCTAAGACGATTTGGGCCTGTCCGTACGTTCGTCTGTCGTAATCACGCAACAGTCAAAACGAATTAAGATAGGAAGCTAAAAATTTGCACAGATATGTCTTTTGTCTACAGACGGGTCAAGTTCGAAGATTGGCTATATCGGTCCACGATAGCATATATCCTGCATACAACGGTACCCCCGATATTCGGTATTTTGATAATTTTAGCCACATTATACCCCGATATTCGGAATTGGAATTGTCTGAAATTCAACACAAGGAGTTCCACGTGACTACCTTACTCCCTGGAAGAGAACTGTTCACGATATCGTATATCCCCCATATAACTTCACTTTCAGATATTGGGTATTTTTATGATATTAGCCAGATTTTTCAATGGAATTGTCTGAAAATCCACACAAGGAGTTCCTTGTGAGTACTTCATCCCCTGGAAGAGAATTATCCATGTAGGACCACAATATCGTATAACCCCCATATAACGGTACCCCGCGATATTCGGTATTTTCATGATTTTTGCGACATTATTCACCGGAATTATTTCAAATTTCGTATAAAAAAGTTCGAAACCTTAAAAACTGACCTGAAATCTACGTTAAAGAATAATGAACGAAGTTTGAAAATTGAAAGCATGCACATCAAATGCAAAAAAAAAAATCAGTTTGAAGATGCAGAGAGGCGTGAAGAGAGGGGCGCCCGTTCTCTGTACTCAGAATTTTTCTTGTACTCTCTATTCATTTCGTGGTTGTTTTCATTCGGCAATGTTCAATAGTAGTTCCTAGATCATGCTCATTTACGAACGAATCAAATCGCGAAATTCATGATTTTGGTTATGAAATTATCCGACACACTATGGAGTTGCAATGTATTTAGAAGCCGGTCTCTGGTTGTAATCATTGGTGGAATTCTCTAACTCATTTTTTGAGTTACCGACAAAAATCGGTAACTTTGTAGACCAAAAGTAGTTAAAATTGACAACATTAGTATCTATCGGTAGGTCTACTTTGATTTTGTCTCTAACTGACCAACAAATTGCGTATACTACCGAAATTATAAGCATTTTATTTTTATCGACTTTTGTCGGTAACTCAAAGTTAGAAAATTCCACTACAGAGCTCAGATTTGCTCATTTTCACTCGGGAGCGAAACTTGCTCGCGAGCAGGTTTACTCTTAGAGTGGGAGTTGTTTACGGAGTCTACTTTTTTGTTTTGTGTGTGAGCGCTCCTGAGTCACTCCGGTTTGAAAAATTAGAGTGGAAGCGGAATCACTCAAAACAGAGCATGAGTTTACTCTAAGAGTGAAAATGAGCAGAATTTTTTTTGTTTGTTGATTTGCGTGAGCATGTGTGCAACAGCAAACCGGTTTTGAATAGTAGAATCTACTCGATTTTGAACAAATTTTGCTTCCACCCAAAAACGAGGAAAACATGTCCACTTCCCTTCAAAAAAATTGATTTGCTCGATTTTTTTCTCTTCACTAGACCGCACTCACTCGAATTCGAGTGTTACATTCTTTGAGCAAACTCGAGCTCGTTTTTCGGTGGTCTGGTTGTAATCAATTGTAATTTGACACACAACATACAAATCAGCTAAAAATCTACTCGATTTCACTCTTAG